TACCAGAGAGGTGATTTTTTTTCATTCCTTCCTCCCCAAAAGATGTTTTAATAATATCTAATTTTCTTGACCTTCCATATGACCCAGCCATCCCCCTACTGGGAATATGCCTGGAGGAATTCAAATCATTCTACAAAAAAGATACCTACATGAGCATGTTTATTGTAGCACTAGTCACAATAGCAAAAACATGGAACCAACTGTGCTGCCCATCGAAACTGGACTGGTTAAAAAAAAAGTGGTACATATACACAGTGGAATATTATGCAGTCATAAAGAAGGGCAAACATATGGGCTTCACAGCAACTTGGTTGGATTTAGAGCCTATCATACTCAATGATCTATCACAGAAACAGAAAATTGAGTACCACATGTTCTCATTCATAAGTGGCCCTTGAACAATTATTATAATACTATAAGAAAGGGATTGGCAGCAGTGAAAAACTGCCAGGGAAGGATGGCATCCCTCATCAACAAGGGTACCTGCATAATAAACATTTGTATACTTAATTCTGAATCGTACCCCACATCTTTAAAATAAGAAATTAAAAAAATATATATATAACTTTCACTATCCACTGATCAGTTGATGGGCACTTATGCTGATTCCACATCTTTTCAATTGTGAATTATGCTGTGATGAACATACGCGTGCTGGTGTTTTTTATATAATGACCTCTATTCCTTTTGTTAGATACCAAATAGTGGGATTGCTGGATCAAATGGTAGATTTATTTTTAGTTCTTTGAGAAATCTCTATGCCGATTTCCACAGAGGTTGTAAATGTGGTATTATATACCATGGAATACTATTCAGCCATGGAAAGGAATGAAATGAAGTCTTTTGCAGCAACTTGGATGGGATTGGTGACGATCATCCTAAGTGAAGTAATGTGGGAATGGAAAACCAAATGCCACATGTTCTCACTTACAAGTGGGAACTAAACTAAGGAACTGCAAGGGCATATAAAATGGCATAATGGACACTGAAGACTCATAAGGAGGTGGGTGGAAGACTCATAGGGGTAGGGATGAAAAAAATCACCTATTGGGTACGGTTGTGCACAGGTGGGGTTGAAAGATACACTTAAAAACCTGACTTCACAACTAAAATGGCTTAAACATGTTTGATCTTGTCCAAGTCACATGACTATTCTTGCCCCCACTTTTCTTAATCTTTATAGCACAGCACTTGCACATTTAATTAGGGGTGCCACTATACAATGCATCCATGTAACCAAATATCGTTTGTACCCTCTAAAGCCGTTGAAATAAGTATTTAAAAAATAATATCTAATTTTGATATTAAATGTTCATTAAACTCAAGGTGTAGGCAGTTTAGGCATTCTCTATGTATGGTAACCAAATAAACTTATTGTGGTTGGTTTGCTGTTGTTAGACTTGGTGGTCTCTAAGTTGCACGACTAATCCATCCATTAAACATTAGAGTAAAAAGGGACTTTATAGCACCCCTAATTAAATGTGCATGTGCTGTGCTATAAAGATTAAGAAAATTGGGGGCAAGAATAGTCATGTGACTTGCACAAGATCAAACATGTTTAAGCCATTTTAGTTGTGGGGATGATTAAAATAGTTGAGGGGTGTTAATACAGAATTGCCAGCCGCTTTGGTCAGGGTTGACCCTACTATAATAATTAAATCAGGAGGCAGAAGAACTACATTCTAGTTCATTTAGCTTGCAATTTCTGTTTGTTTCAATGTCCTCATCCACAAAATAGACATAAGCATACATGCTATGTCTACCTCATCAATTGGAAGAATATGTTAGCTAATGTGTGAAATATAAATTAAGAAACCCTTTTGTTATCATCGCTAGAGTGAGAATTGAACTAACTCAGCTAAACTCAACTTTCTCTGGGAACTTAGTGTTACAGTATTAATATTATCAGAGAGAAATAGGTCAGAGGTAGAAAGTGAATGTCACTGTGAAATGATGGCTAGAATCTCTTTTTAAGGATATTTTGGGATGGGAATAGACATGCTGGTTAGACCCTATGAATCACACAATGTTCTCCAGTGACTTGTAATTGGCTCAATGTAGGTTCCCTAGGTTTTTCCTTTAACTGCCTTGGTTATGTGTAACATTTCATGTTCCTGACTTACTGAAACTTTCCTTGTTGAAATTCTATTTATCACTGCCATCTAATAGACAAAAAATCCTTCTGGGTCATTCAAATGAGTTCCTAATGGCTAGTTTTTGAAGATTACAAATTGCCAAGAAAAAGCAAACTTGAAGACACAGAGGTGTTTCTTTGATCTTCAAGGGACTAATTATATTTCTGAATAATTTGATTGTATTAAAATAAATAGTTATGTGTTTCTTATATTAATGATTTAGATAACTTGATTGTATATTCCAATTAATAGTTGCAATTTTTGATTCAGTTGCCTAAATATTTTATATAATGATGACTTGAAAATATTTCACAAAGGATTAAATTTTATATTTACCTAAGCTGTTGATCTTGATTCTGAGATTACTATTTTAAATGTATAGTAAAGCAGCTTACCTCACAGGTAGCCCTAACTCCTCTAGATTTTTTTTGAAAAAAATTATATAAAATATAACAGTGATTTTATTTCCATATTATATTATATTCCAATTATATATATTTAAGAAATAATTGGGGATGGAAAGTTAGATGGTGCATTTATGTTATTGCAAATGTGGGCTTATCGTCTGCATTCTCCATATATTAGGTTAATATGTAAGTTCCTAGAGTTTTTCAGCTTGCTCATGAAATGCAAGTGTCGCAGGATGGTTGTCTGGTCACACTTCCTTGCATTTGCTAATCGTTGGTTTGACTGACAGGGATCCTCGTGGAATAAAGCATTCAAATGGCCTTCATCAAAGCCCTGAGGTCTTCCTGAATGCGAGAATCACTTGGGCCAAAGTGATCCTCTTTGAAATGACAAAACCATTATCTTGCTGTATTTTCCTCAATGACATTCTCCCCATGCACCACACAAATGTCTCAAGCTGCCTCTGCTGCCTTTACTCCTCTGTGAAACTCAAACAAAAGAATATGTTGGAAGTGTTCGTTTTTTCCCATTTGACACTCCATCTTCTTTAGCTCACCAATAGCACTAACTTTCTTCAAATCTGCAAAATGCAGGGAGTATTCACAAGCACAGCATTGTCACTCCAAATGGCAAATGACAAATGATAAATTCCCAACACTGGTGTTGCCATGCCAAAAACAAACGCCACGAACTTATGCATCAACCTAATAAAATTCACCAGGGTTTCTTTAGTGAGGGGTTGAAAATCCAAGAGTCCAGAGTATTTCTAGGGAGACAAATAAATGTCTCTGAAAAGCCTCTTCCAATACTGTCTATGCCTCCACAGACTTGCCGATTTCCTTTCCTTTCCTTGTCCATGGAATCTCCAGGCCTTTTTTGGTTGTTGTTCAGCCCTCTTTAATCCCGTTCTTTTCTGGACTCCTGGGAGACATCTGAGACGAGTAATGGCTTGGAAAATTGTGTGGCAGTTATTCATGTAGGTCTCTGATTAAAAAGGGATCTCATTGTGTACTTTGGCATTTCTTAGAATCAGGCACAGTGCAGGGCACGGAGTAAGCACTCAACAAACACATAATTAATCAACACTAACAGGAAAACTTCTTAAGGTCTGGGATTCTGTTTCTAATTATCTGCATGGCACCTCTTCTAGGGCCGTATGCTGATAGGTGCTTATTGATTGACTTGATTGAAACTATAAACCCTTAGAGAATACCCACTCCATGATAATGTAAATCTGAGCCCCTCGTCTTTCACTTATTTAACTGGTCTCTCTCAAACAGTTCAAAATTTGGTGCTTCTAACTGAGGTTACATGGTTCATCACTTGCATCCGAGAGGATTTTTACATTCTTCAGGTCGTGTGGTGGAAGGAATTCTTAATCGTTTCAGTTCAATCTTCCTCATTACGTGATGAGTAAATAGGGCCCCTGCGGTTAAGCGACTTGTCTAAAGCGTTTTGGTTAATCCGTTTGGTGTTACATTTTGAGTCCCTGCTTTATTTCAGACGATGTAGTGATTTAAGATTGAAGTCTCTAATTTCTTAATTCTTCAGCTGTGCTCCCCATTCCAATTCCAACCTCAATTTAGCTACCGTTAAATATTTCTAAACAGTCGTTGAAGAAATCACATGCCTAAAACTTCTGCTGGGTCCTATTTAGGGTGTCTATTTCCAATTTTTTCATATTGGTGCTCTATGGTAAGGAAATTTCTTAGCCCTTTGCTCTGAAAGGTAGAGCAAGACTGTATTTTAAAAATCTTGTTTTGACATGTTTTGAAAAATTCACAATGTTGGTGATAAGCTAGGATATCTCAGACACAAAACAGAACTGGGAATCCGTGTCTCAGGAGTTCGAATCGCTGTGTTTGGCTGAGTGTGTAATGATATTCTGGCTCGGCTACTGACAGGCATATAGAATAAGGTAAGGATGGACAGGGGTCACTCCACAGCAGTTCTCACGTTAGATAAAGAGTTCTACTTTTCTATGCTCGAAGAAGACCCCAAATAGCTGCTGCTCACTCCAAGGCATACATTTATGTGCTTAGACATGTAAAACCTAGTTATAAAACTTTATAGGTTTTAAAAAAAATGAGGATAGTGACTGGACTGCTGATTGTGGATAGACCAGAGTTTTTGGTCAGAAACTTCTCCTTTTTGCTGGGGTTTGATTCAGTTCTCTAGCAACCTGAACATCTTCACAAGTGATGGGTGACGAATTGAGGAGGATGGGGAGGAATGGCACTTTTCTCCCCGTGGTCACTTTGTTTCTTGTGGGCATTCACAAAGCTGTGGAATAGTCTTGCAAGAGATGCTGCCTAGGTTTGAGAGAGAAAAAGAGTCAGGGATAAAAAGGAAGAAAAGCAGTGTGTTGTTCACAGGTCTAGAAACTTGCTACAGGTAAGTGAGCCTGGTAGTGAGATGGCTGGGTTTTCTGTACCATTCTTTTCCCATCTTACCTAGTGCCAGTGACAGATGTCCAAGAAGCTCTGACCCTTGACAGCATTGAAAAGCCACTTGTCAAAGTAAGGCACTGCTGCTTCCAACCTTTACTTATGTATACATTTATTGGTAGGAAAAGCAGTCAGAATCCTTGAAGTTAAGAGTGGGTTAGAGAAATAGATTCTTAGGCTTGGCTTGTGGTACCATTTACCCTAAGAAAATTGTACTAGATAATCTGAATTTGAAAAATCTTAGGACATACAATTCCTGACATCAGGCTCCTCAAAGTAAAGTTTTGCTATTCCTGAAAATTCTTCCCTGGTAAATCCGATTCCAGGCTTCTTCATCAATCAACTTCCCGGCCCTTCCCCACCCCCTCACCTCCTTCCACTTGTCTTCATGAGTACAGAAGACACAGGAAAGGACCATCTGGCCCAGCATGCCAACTTTTTATTTGGTTGCTCTCAATCCCACCTTCCTGTTTGCATCACCCCTCCTCTCTGCCCATACTGCAGAAACCAATCAAGGTGTCTCCTGAACTCATTTATTCCCTTTGTTTCAACTGCCTTCTTGGGTAACTTTTTCCATATGCCTATATCCTTGCCTCACAGCAAAGGGTTACTTTCGCCATCCAAAATGGCCTCACTGGACGCTTAGGAAAAACCATTTGCTCAAATATAGGACAAAGCGCTTCTGAAGAACCCAAACAGCTGTTCATTACTTTTGATGGCCAGGGTATATATAAGTGGAGAAAAAATTGCTATGTTTAAAAACTAACTGGCTGATGGACCCGGAGACGGAGTGGTTTGGAGCTGAAGAGCACATTGTTGTTAGCACCGAATCTTTACTCCTCCAGATGAAATAGTCTAATCGAGAGTTGGACCCATAGTCTGTAATTATGATTTTATTTTAATTTGGCTTTTATTTTGTTGTCCTGGTTTGGCCTCATTCCCTTCAGCATGGTGACATTAGTGCTATTTATATTGCCTGTTGTGGACCAATTTTCTTCGGTGGTTGCTAAAACTTACTAAAATGCCAGATGTCATGTTGGAAACACGAAACCTGAAAGAAGGTCGTAAATCACAAAAACAAACCATAAAAAAAATAATAAAATGCCCCGAGTGCTGTGCTCTGGAGCTTCCCAGCTTTAAGTCTCCTTTTGTTCACCCCTCTCCCCACCCCCCATCTTTTAAGGGCAGAAGTTGGGGAGAGCTCAGCAGTTTCTCACCTAAGGCTCGATTGTTTATTTTGTAGATTCTGAGCAGAGCACGGGTTCAGACTCGGAGGTGCTCACCGAGCGGACTTCCTGCTCCTTCAGCACTCACACTGACCTGGCCTCTGGTGCCGCAGGCCCTGTGCCTGCTGCCGTGTCTTCCATGGAGGAAATCCAGGTGGAGCTGCAATGTGCTGACCTCTGGAAGAGGTTCCATGACATCGGAACTGAAATGATCATCACCAAAGCAGGCAGGTAAGGACAAGCCTTTGAGTGGCCAGATTCGAAGAGTCTACAGAATAGGAGCCTTTGCACACCCCTCCCCCATTGATTTGTGGCAGCATCAGTGAGGCCAAAGCCACTTGTACTCACTTTTCTGCACTGGGACATCTTGGTAAAGTGGTCCTGCTGTGTTTACTGTAATTTTGCTGATTTCCTTCAAGGGCCACTTAAATCTAAACCATCTCTACCTGAACAAACATTTTTCACCTACAAATGTATTTCAGCTAATACTGGAAGTATATGAGATCTTAACAACCCAAAGATAGATTCCCAAATATTACAAATACCAGTTTACTTAACCGGTCGATATTTTCAAGAAGTTTGCTCTCCAAACAATAGCTTGAATCTTCTAAGGCATTTAAAGCAACCAGATGCTTTTGTAATTTTTGTTTTTAAAGAATTGGTCTTAGATTGGGCACAGTGTCTCATGCTTGTAACCTCAGCACTTGGGCGGTCAAGGCAGGAGGATTGCCTCAACCCTGGAGTTCAAGACCAGCCCAGGCAACATAGCGAGACCTCATCTCTACAAAAAAAATTTTAAAAATTACCCAATGTGGTGGCACATGCTTGTAGTTCCAGCTACTCAGGAGGCTGAGGCAGACAAATTGCCTGAGCCCATGAGGTTGAGGCTGTAGTGAGCCATGATCATACCACTGCACTCCAGCTTGGGCAGCAGAGTGAGACACCAACCTCTAACTGAAAAAAAAAAAAAAAAAAGTCTTGGTACATCTTCTGAACCCTGCTTGTTGGTCCATTGTATTTCATCACTGACTTGAAATTATTACAAAACTTTAGTGGAAATCTCTTGCAGAACTATTTATCTAAGATTATAAAGTCTTAAAAATACAGTTTCTCTTAAAAAACTATGTAAGTTTCTTTCTTGTCAGTTTTAGTCAAGCTACTCCTTTATTGGTATCTTTCAATTTTCCATTGTTAGGTATCTGTTTTGTGCTGGACACTCAACATTTCCCTTCTCATTTAAATTTCACAGGAATCCTATGAGACAGGAGACAGGATATCATCATGCAGAGGCTGAAAGAGGTTACTTATCTTGACTAAGGCACAGAGATAGTAAGAGGCAGCTTCAGAATTTCACGCATATCTGGGTGGCTCTAAAACAATGGTCTCAACTGTTTATAACTTTGCACTATTAAAAAATGATTGTAGCTCTTGCCATTGGCATTCAAAGTAGAATTGATATAGATAAAACTAAATTTGGACTAAGCTTTTGAACATATAGGAGTAATTAATTGAAATGAAAGAAAACAATTCTACTCCCTTCATATGTTCAAAACCAATCTGCATGGCCTCGAAAAGACCTTCCTCACGCTCATAGGCTGTTTTCATAAACATGGCCATTCAAAGTAAAATAAAGCCTGGTACAGTGGCTCATGCCTGTAATTCCAGTGCTTTGGGAGGCTGAGGCAGGAGGATAGGTCGAACCCAGGAGTTCAAGACCAACCTGAGCAACATAGTGAGACCTCATCTATAAAAAACAAAACAAAATTAGCCAAGCATAGTGGTGTGTGCCTGTAGTCTCAGCTCCTCTGGAGGTTGAGGCAGGAAGAGTGCCTGAGCCCAGGAGGTTGAGGCTGTGGTGAGCCATGTTGGTGCCACTGCACTCCTGCCCTCCAGCCTGAGCAGCAGGAGAAAGACCCCACCTCACAAAAAAGCAAGAATAAACAAATAAAAAAATGTAAAATAGTATTTTGAATGAGTCCAGTTCACTATATGCATATAGAGAAATCTCCCAATGTAATAAGACATCACAAAAACATGAGGTTAAAATGAACCTCATGAAATGAAATCTTGTTTATTTTATTTTATTTTTTTTCTGGAACCCTCTTCTTTTTCTGACTTTTAGTAGTGAATAAAACCATAAAAAGTCTTCTTAGGAGGAGGAACTTTGCAGGAAAATTACTTTAAATGCCATCTTTTTGTTGTTGGTTGGGTCTCAGTGTACTTTTGTTTTCCATTTTATGGTGTTAAGGCTTGGAAGAAAACAAAGCAATTCAAGAGAAGGTTTTTTTTCTTTCTTTTAAAAAAGCTTTTGATGGAGGGGCTGGTTTGGAGGGAGAATAAATATTACAATTATTTTTTGTCTATAAGATTTATAGTTTTTATTTTGGGCTTTCACTTTATTACTACTGGGTCTGTGTATTTCAATCATTCTTATTCTTAGTATTGTTTCCTCATTCTTTGTACTTCAGTGAATTTAGTGTATTTAAGCACCTCCTTTACAACCTTCTTGTAACCTATTTTGTTATTTCTTCTGCAGTATTTTCTTTTCCATATATCTGACATCACAAATTCACCTTGACATCTGGATACATTCTCATATTCCCCGGCACAGACATACAGTTTGTTCTTTAGTCATACTGAAATCTTTTATCTAGGTATAGAAATTGTATTCATTACTTCTTTGTTCAATTGCCTTGACTATTGCTATATGTACTTCTGCTCAGATAATTTCAAAACAAATCAGAGACATACAAAGAAGACCTTATCTTCTGTGAATTTTCTTCATCCCTCCCTATTTCTCTGGTGATAAAACCATATGGTAATTTTCTCTGGTAAATTTCTTCCTTCTCATTCATTTTCCTTCCTGTGCAGTATCCTTTTCCATTTTGATTACCATTTCTGTGTTCTTAGTTATGTTATTTATGTGTGACTCTCTGTACCTTTTCTCACTGAGAAGATTTTAATCACTATCTATTTCTTTCCAAAAGAGTCTTGTTGATTCAGAGCTACTACAGTCTACAGAACGTTCAATCTTTCAATGTATCAATACAACGTGTATAATCAGCACCACGGACAGAGGTGCTTGTAGGGATTATTGGGTGTGGAAGACAAAGAATTTAGCCATAAAATTAAAACCAAATACATCTTATTTTGTGAAATATAAAATATTAATTTTTCTCTGGAGTGTTGTGACTTTACTTGGTATTTGGTGCTAAAATATTGACAAAAAGAAAAGACAATGTTTGCAAAGTTTTAAGAAGTAAGTTCGAAAGTAGTGGTAGAATTTTAAAGCAGGAGGGCACTTTAGAAACTATCTAGTCATTTTCCCTTGTTGCATATGTGATAAAGTTACATGACTTAGCCAAAATCACAAAGCTCATTCATTTTAGAACTTGGGTACTGGGAAGAAGTGGACAGCTCCTTCATTCAAGGTCATAGAACTCTTCCAGACAAAAGAGGTATTGAATTAAAAAAATATCTAACCCTTTTCCTTGAAGTCATCGAGAAAAGACACCCATCTCTCTCTATGTAATACATCTTCTGCAGGTGGATGAGAGGAACCACGTTTTCTTATCTCAGATAGTGAGAGGACTTTTGCCTCATCTCTGGCAAGATGTCTCTAAAAATGTATATATACAGGGCAATTACAAATCAGTGTTATTAAGAAGAGAATTACTGATCTGTATTTAAATTTCTAGACAATGTTTCTCAATTTTTTGCAAAGAATTATCGTGGATCATAGTGCCTAACCTACAGTGAATGTTAGATTTAGACATTATGAGTAGCTTACCATTTAATTTCATCAGTCCATTATAAGACTAAAATATAAGACTTTTCAATTAAACTTGTGATGGTATGAGAAAATCTAAAATGATATAACCAGCAGAAGCTTCGGAAAAGCAAAGTGTGAAAGAAGGAATATTATTTCTTGCAACTGTTTAAGAATTAGCTATTACCTCTATTAAAGGTATTTCCCTCAAATATAGTTATTATGTCACTGACCTACTGCCAGAGGACTTTTGCTTTTGGAGTTGCTTTTCCTGGGTGAGTAGCAAGTGTGTGACTAGCACAGAGAATCTCTCATGTGTCCAACCAGTACACATTTGCAAGATGGCTGTCTAAGGTCAGGGTATGGTCTATGGCCGTGAAATGGAGCAAAGCCAATTAGGCCATGTGTGGATCAAGCCTGTGACCTTGACCTCATTAGCACTGTGCTCTGCCCAGCTCGACTAACTAGCCCCAGATGGTTAAGCTTAATTCAACAGTTTGTATACAAGTACCCTAGAGCACATTCAGGGCAATCCAAATTTTTGAACTGAGCACTTTTTGTGTCTGGCTTAATACAAAAGAACTTGATGTTTTTCTTCTCTTGGTTAAAGAAGAATGGTGAACTTTATTCTAGGTTTGTTGAAATTCAATACCTCTTTTGGGCTGCTCCCTCTCCTTCTCTCTTCAATTATGAGAAAAGTTGTAAAGTGCTATATCCTGACCTCACTTGCTTTGGCAAGTTTAACAAGCCATTGTGGTAGAAACAAGGTATTGCCCAGAGGCCACTAGAATTCATTTGGTGTTTGCTCCGTATTCTGCAGGGTCCTTCCTCAGACACACACGTTGACAACCTGAGAACTTGCAGAATTTTTTCTACAGTTTTACGCCTTAAAAATGTGGACGACCCTTTGTTTGTAGCATCTTCCTTTTTTCTTCTTTTCTTGAGTGATAATTTTTAGAGTGGTTATATTCAAATAGATTTAACCAGTCAAAAGTATTTTATGATGATCTACAGCAAAATGTGATACACTCATTGAGTTAGAAGAAGAGCATAAATTATTGTACCTACCTTTAAGAAAATTATAGCTAATAGGAAACGTATATGTGAATACACACATACGCTCCCATCTATGCACATATTTATATCATGCTAAAGATGAACTAAAAATATAAAGCAGCTTATGGTATGAAACTTTTGAGAGTATGAATCATCACATCAGTCAATTTAAGTTAAGAAGAGATGTTATTTCAGCAGTATAAGTCCAAGAAATATTTTATAATGATAATTTCCAATCTGAAAAAACAAATGAGGCAACGTTGAGAATTAGAGAAACTGGACTTTGATGTGCTTAAAGTACCTAATAAGACAATGTTGTTTAAGCTCTTACTCCTGCTGTTTCTCCAACTCTGCTGAGGTTACTGCTTTATTCCCCATTGTAGGAGGATGTTTCCTGCCATGAGAGTGAAGATCACAGGACTGGATCCACACCAACAGTACTACATAGCCATGGACATTGTGCCTGTGGACAATAAGAGATACAGGTAACAATGAGTCTGAGCTGTGGAACTGTGACCAGAATCAACATTACAAGACAGTTCTTTAAAAACATGAGATGATGCAGTTTAACAAGCACACTGTACAGAGTGCAAAGAATAGAGGATATGTCAATGGCCTGTGACAGAGCACCAGCCAAGAAGTGGTAACTTTGATTTGGAATCTTGCTTAGGTCTCTGGATGAAATGAGATAGTGTCACCCAGGGGAACAAAAAGTCAAAGTGATCTTAAGTCTCAAATTAATTGAATTAATATTGAAAGTGGTTTATGTACTGAATAATTTGGTTTGTGAAATGCTAAATGAGTTGGGATGATTTATTTTGGAGAGGGTAAGAAGTGGGCGAGTGTAGTATTCAATTATGTATCTGATGGATCACTCTATAAATGATGGAGAGAAAGAATAGGAGAATTGGGTAAGATTTCAAGAAGAATATCTAGCTAGGAAGAATAGTTGTTCATTAATATGAGTTGTGAGCAAGTTTGTTGAATAACTTTCCTCAAAGTCACTACAAATGCCAATATAGTCTCCATGTCTCTTGCATGGCTTATACAGAGTTCTTGCCAGAAAAAAAGTTGTGACTTAACTCCTTTCAAATCTCACTCAATCAGTGAATCATTTTTTCGTCTTTGAAATATCAAAAGTCCAAGAAGTTGGCCCTAAACCCTTGAATTTGGAGTCTTTGATATGATGGGGAAGGTCTGGATTGCAGGCCTTAGGAGAGAGGATGCCTCGGGCTTTTTGTATTAGAGAATCTTGGGAGCTGTGATTTGAACCGAGTGCCTCTGTTTGCTAGAGTTCATGTCCCATATGGTCCCTTAGAACTGAGAAGCAGGGAAGTGCCAGGCCCATGGAGAAAGCCCTTCAGAACCACAGGAAGATTGGCAAAATCTGGAAAACTGACTTCTTTTGTTACCAAGAACATCTTATTTCCAGTGGCTGGAAAATAGTGTGAAAGAGAATGAGGTTCATCAAATAAAACACGAACTGGGAATATTTGATTTTTTTTCTGGGAATGGTTACACTAAGGCAAAGGCCCTTTATAGGAATGCCTCAAAATCCAGATTCTTAGCAAGGAAATGGTTAACGAGTGAGAGGTTTGGAAGGTCTCTGCACATGGCTGCATTTTATAGGACGATATGGAAGATGTTTTTAATAAGGAACAAAATCCCGAACAAGTGGCCAAGGGATTATATGGTTTGCATTTTAAAGGTGAAAGGTTGCAGTAAAATGCCTTTCCCTAGCTAGACATGTGAGTTCAGGATGCCTGTGTGCACACAGGGGTGCATGGCAAAGAGGGGGAAGAAAGAAAGAGGACTGTGAGAATGTTTTCCTCATGAGAGCTGCAGCTTTGACCATTAACTACAGCATTTCCCTGCCCTCCGCACTCTCTCTCTATTTCATTTCCCCTGGCTATCTGCCCTCCTCTTTTTCTCCTTTGATTCTGTTTCATTCCCATTTATTTCTCCATTCTTGTCATCTCTTCGTTTCTCTCTCCTCTTCCCCGTCTCAACTTGGTTTGGCATCTCTGTCCTCTCTCTGCATGGTCTCTGAATTCTCATCTCTTTCCCTTTACCTCAGATATGTGTATCATAGCTCCAAGTGGATGGTGGCTGGCAACGCTGATTCCCCTGTGCCCCCAAGAGTTTATATACATCCTGATTCTCTAGCTTCTGGAGACACCTGGATGAGACAGGTAGTCAGTTTCGACAAACTCAAGCTGACCAACAACGAATTGGATGATCAAGGACATGTGAGTCAAAGAATCCCATCTTCTGTTTCCTAACTCTTCCCCTTTTTACTTTAGAGCTGACTAGCCCCAGGCTTTTTCAGAGAGGTCAAATAAGAATCTCTACACCACTTTAAGGCATTTTAAGTTAGCAAGCATAGAAGTGTTTTTCTCCAGTTAAATTTCATTTATTATAAATCTAACATTTAGCAAACATCTGCTATGAATCAGGTTGTGATTATCAGACAAAGTCCTTGTGCTCCAGGGAGTTACAGTCCATCAAGGAGGCAAGACAGAAATTCAAGACAAATTAAATATGTTTAAAAAAATCACAACATTCAGCTGAATAACTCATAAAGCAGTAAATTAAAGGGAAACAAGTACATGACAGTTTTGGCTGGTTTGTCAAAAAAAAATTATGAATTTATAAGGGAAGGCTAAGTCTTAACACTTTCTAGGTATAATTGGAGCATCTGATGTTACTAATTTATCTTTGGTAGTGAAACATGCACTGGATTTGAACTGAATGCCAGGATCCATACTGGATACTCTAAGAAGATCAAAGATGTTAAAACCATAGCTCCTATCTTTAAGGACATGACAATATTCTGAGGGAGTGAGAACCCATATATCCCATTCACTCTCAAATAACATAAAAGAATGTTCATATATTCAATAATGAGTGCAAATAATAGCATATAGCATTTAAATGGACCCAGACTGAAAATTTGAAGTTGCCGGGAATAATTTGTCACATGTCAGAGGTTCTGAGACTTTTTAGGAGAGTGTTATCCACTGGCACTAGAACAGTCATTCAGCATTTATCCAATTAAAGTAAGCATATTACAGCTACCATCTGTGATAATGATATCCTACTGTATGGCTTCCAGTAATGCTATCCAATCCCATAGTCTTTCCTGCCATGGGCAAGTACACTGGCTTCCAGTTTTCTGCACATCCTATCCCCGATCTGTGCTCTTCATATAATGCTTATATTGTGTGTTTCCTTTTGCACAAGAGTTTGAAAAAGCGGAGGGACCTTAAGACCAAGCCTGGCATAATTCCTCTTCTGATTTCAGATCATTCTGCACTCTATGCACAAATACCAGCCTCGAGTTCATGTGATTCGCAAGGACTTTAGCAGTGAGCTTTCACCCACCAAGCCCGTCCCTGTTGGGGATGGGGTGAAAACCTTCAATTTTCCTGAGACTGTGTTTACCACAGTCACGGCCTATCAGAATCAGCAGGTAAGAGGGGGCCTTTGGGAGTCTTTTGCTGTGTCTGCTTTTTAAAGGAGTGTACCTTGCTTTTGGCAAGAAATGCTTAGTCTTTCTATGGGGTACTGAAGAGTTGGAATGGGAGACACGGGTCTTGTCGTGTACATGGGGCACTGGTGCTGACAGTATGGCAATACTTAGAAACAGCGTACGTAGTCTAGATTTAGATCAGAGACAAGATCTTGACCAAGAACTCCAAACCTTCTAAGTTATTTTCATGTCTCTCTGTACTTGTCCCTGTGCTCATGACCTCTGCTACATCCTGGCAATGACACTCATCATTTGGAATTCTTTGGCAAGTACCGAAGTTTGATTCATGCTTTCCCTCTTTTCTGCAGTTTTCTGTGTATCCTTCCACCAGGCTACATCAAAGTCATCAAGTTTCTCAAAGTCTGTTTAAGACCCACCACTTTCATTTCCATTTTCAGACTAAATTTACCTCCATGTGACTATCAGCCACATCCTAAGATCTGTACGGTTTTATGTCTGTAATACAATTGTTCATTCCAAAGATATTTAATGAAAACTTACCACATTCCAGGCTTAGCAGATAAATAAAGCTGATTAAGATGCATTTCTCCTTTAAGCAAAGAAAAGTTTTTGCTGGGTAAAAGACACATAAATGCATAATGATAGTAGAGTGGAATAATTCAATGACAGAGCTGAGTGGTTCTTGATTTGGAGAATTAGGTAAGTTCTTCTGGAAGAGTTGACACTTTTTTCTGATGTTAACACACATATATGAACTAGCCAGAAGAATGCAGAAGAAATGTGAATTGAGGAGGGGAAGGGATAGGAGGAAATCAAGTCTGAAGTTATTGTGGGCATTCTAAACATCATTCTTTTCTCTGAGGAGGGTAGCTAGGTGGAGTTGCACATAATCTCACATTATGCGATTCCCTCCAATTTGCCTGTGAATCCCGTTTTTGTGAATTGGATTGTATTTACTCTTTTGGCAATTGTCTAATTCAAAGGATCCTGCATTGAACTTTTTCCAAAAACAAAGAGGCATTTGTTTGCCTATCTTGCTTGAAAATTAGCATTCTTTTATTTGGGGCCTGCGTGAAGCCAAATGACCTCACACAATTATACTCAATACATTTTGCATTGGATATGCTGCTTTGTGCTCTGGCAACAAAAGCAAAAAAGAAAAACATTCACTTACTAATTATTTAACAAGTGCTTATTGTGTATCAGGCAGGTGAATTGAGTTATATAATCATTGGCTTGTATAGAAAGGGTATTTCTATTTTTCATGATCCATCTGTATAGGATTTCTTAGATATTCTTTACTTTCAGAGGAATTTGACATACAGCAACTCCTTAGGCTAGTAAATGTGAAGTCCTCTGTGGTTGTTAGACTTTCTCAGCAGTTGTAAAGGGTTTCTAACTTCAGATTTTCTTTATGGATGCCACATTTGATCTAAAGTAGAAGAAGAGCTTTAGTTTCCTTGGGATGCTATTTAACAACTATTAAACCTTCTCAAACCCCTCAGATGGTAAAATTGCTGAGGCCATAGAGGATCCATACAGTAAACTATAATAATTAAGACTTTTCAAGGTCTGATACAAGATATAGCAACAATATAGACATGGTTTTTGGAGCAAATGGAACGTTGGGATTAGCTCTGGCTCAGAAAGGGAGAAAAAGCCTAAATTCTTTGAATAACTCATTAGACTTTTCTAAGAACACCCTAGCCACAGTTTTCATCATTAGTTTCTCACGAAGGCAGCACGATGACAATAGATATTCTAACTTTTGAATTTAGTTTGTAGAACAAACTGGAACCCTGAAGCATTAACATTCTACTGCCTCATTGAGATCAATTAGAGAGTCTAGGAGAGCCATTATTGTAACCCAGTTGGAATTAGAAAGTGACAACTCACCTTGACAATGAGGGTGGACCGAGCATGGACACCTGGAATCCCTTTCACTTCTTTTACCTTCTCTCATAGTCAGTGTTCCAGCATATGAGTACATTCTGCTCATGTGAATATTTTGTCTACATCTGGACTGGGGTGGGGGCAGGATACCATGATTAAGATCATGACATTTGGCAGCAGATATACTTGGTTTGATTTCCAATCTTTCTACTAACAAATCGTGTGACGTTGAGCACATTTCTTAATTCCTTTCAACCTGTGTTTCCTGGTTTGAAAATGTGCCGGCCTCATAGAGTTACAAGGACTAGATGAGGGAGCACGCATAAATTCACAGAAACCTGGCATTCAATTAATAGTAGTCAGTCTACATTGCTCCATGACTAGATCTGCACAGGCATGAAGGAGAATGGGGCACAGAGGCAATTTTAAAGAATAAGTTGCTTATTTAAGAAAGCGTGGATTGTTGGACATTGGAGGGGCTGAATTAACTCTCAAAGGGATTATAATCAGTAGATCAACTACTTTGATCTCTCTGTCCTCATGTCATTTTGGTGAATTCATGATGTGCTGACATTCAAAATAGGTGAGTCATACTCAAATCTGCCCATTTTGGGATCAAGATAACAGTTTTTGCCTGTTTAACAAGCCCCTAATCCCTGGATAAATCAACAAGCATGATTGTTTAACATTCCCTTTGGCTGTGTAGATATGATTTAATATAATACAGTACCTTCTAATAATACAAAATAACCTGAGGTCTTTCCCCCAGGAATCCTGAAGTCTGTATCCCGTAGGTCAGAGCTGTTACCTAACAATCATTCTCAGACTTGTTCTAAAGATGCCAGGTAGCATAAATTGTTCTTTTTTGTGAGCTATATTCACCTATTACTGTATTTTTATTCTTCTCGACATTCTAGAATGAGAACAATCACTATGGCAAAACTTTTTACTTCATCTATTTCTTTTTAAGGGTATGATTAGGAGACCTATAAAAGAGTAAAGTGTAGAAAAATGGTAGTACCTCAGTGTTCTCAGGAACTTGTTTGGAGGAACACAGTTGTGAAGAAGGGACAACAGGGGGTGTGTAATGGAAATGAAATGCTCCCCAGACTTCCTAAGAAAAAGCAATGTTTTGTTCCACAGACAGCAATGGGAGAGACATTTGGAGATGAAGGTTTTAGTCCTAAATTTTCCACTAGCTACCTATGTTGCTCTGAGCAAGTTGTTTGTCTTTCACAATAATTGGGCTTCAATTTATTCTTCTAGAAAATGAGGAGCTGGCTTATGCTTTCTAAGGCCACTATTGTCTCTGTAATTCTAATTTATCCCTTTTTTCCTTGCACGATTTTTAATGCGGAATGGGAACAATTTATTGTTATCAAATTAAGGCAATCAACACATGATTTTTAAGTACTGAAAATTATTAGAGTGTTCATGTCTGTAAACTTAAAAAAATTCCCACAATATTCTAGGCAAATATATTATTTAGCAAGTCTATATTTGCGGGGTAGGAATATGGTATTTTGTAAACAAAACATTCCCAAATATGCTATTTCTTTGTGACTTCCCAATCATACTGTGTTAAAAAGCCCATGTTCCTGCTGACTTCTGTCTTGTTACCCAGGCTAGACATCTGGCTCTCCTACATCCAGTCTGCCACTGAACTCTGTTGCTTCTACTGACAGAATATTTTCTAAACTCATCGCTTCTGCCTTTGCTCTGTTCCTGGCTTTCCCCGCCCCCCACCTTGGGCTGTTATGATAGCTTCCAGTTAAGTCACTTGGACAGCTTGGTGTCTCATGGGCTGTCATTGCTAGATGAATCTCACTGAAGCACTGTGCTTATTGCATCATTTCTTTGTCAGAAATTTTCAATGACTCTTCTGTGCTAGGTTATCAAGTCTAGGATCCCAAGGCTTTCTGATGAGATCCTCTGATGCAAATCACCAACTACATTTCTAGGCTCATTTTTTGTCATCCCTCAATCTAGATCCACAAAAGTGTAGCAAGTTCGCTAGATTTTTACCATTGCCTGACCTTTGTGGTCAACTTGCCTTGTATCACTGTTTTCTGTCTTAGAAATACCATTCTCCTTTGTCTTTGTCTGTCTAGATTCTTTCTACCCTTCAAGTTTGGCAAAAATGCTATTTCTTAAAACCTTCTTTACTTTTTTCAGCTGCAAATGAGCTCTCCCCACTTATGACTATTAGGGTCCTATACCTCTCTCATGGCCTTATCACAGTCTAACCTTAGTGTGTGTGTGTCCTAGCTTTCTCTTGACATTTTGAGTTTTTTAAGAACACAAGTTGTGCCCTTTACAAAAACAGCATGATATGGCAGAAAACACCAGTTGGGAGTTAAGAAACTTGCATTTTATACCAAATTCAGACTGTACTGCCCTTGACAAATCACTTCACCTCAGTATTCTGATTTGCAAATTGATGATTTGTTCTGAATCAGTGCCAGTTCATGGGGAAGTTTTTTTGAAGTTCCCTGAAAAATGCAAAAAAAAAAAAAAAAAAATTAAAGAAACAGGGACTTTTTATAGATGTATACATTCAATTTAATAGACTTTACATTATTCTGTTTGGTCCTTTCTGCTTTTTGTTCAAAAATGTCACTTATTTTATAAAATAGTGATGGCAGGAGAGAGTAGATAGATGTTTCTCTTCGCTTGGTAGAATGAAAAACTGGGATGTAAACATTGATCCCTCAAATTTTGAGGGAGGGATTAGAATTGGCCTAAGAAATTCTGAAGCCCATCTCCATAATTCGAAGTTATTTGTGTCTGTCCCATAGTGCATAGCACTGAGTATATGCTTGGCATATGACTAAATAATGGAATGAATGATTAGCCACCATGTCTCTACCCCTGGTTTTCTTACATGTCTTTGGTTCTGCTTCTTGGAATGTAAGTACTAGTGAAGTGCAAAGAGAACTTTTTCTATTTTCACGGAGTATTTTGTGCTTTACTTTCCCCTTTTCCCATTTCTTCCTCCCACCCTTGTTTCCTGACCTATAGATGCCCAGGGCTGCTAGCATACTGAAGTTCCTATAACTATTATTTGCTCTCGTAGTGCCAACTTG